AGAGTTTCTTCAAAGGTCTGATCAGCGAGGACCTATTTGCTCATAAGACATCTTTTTATGTCTTATAAGAGAAAAAAATTAGAGCCCAAGGACATGATGTAAATTCGTAGAAAGCCTTTTCTAGGTCTCTATGAGCATTTGAATATCTTCCAGTCATGCACATAAACAGTACTCCTACCTCTTGGGGTACATGGCATCTAAACACTATATCTTGCTTATTTCCCTGGGTGAATAATTGCTGCATTCTGTCAGTGCAGTTTGGTGAAAGTCATAGAATCATTTAGGTTGGAAAAAAACTCTTAAGGTCATTGAGTCCCCTCAAGGGAACAACTCTCGCCTTAGAAATGGAAGCGTCTCCCTCTCCAACCCGAGCAGACAATCGCAGGGATTATTTTAGTTGTTAGGAAGTGCAGCCATGTTACTGGACAGAAGGAGCCCCCATGCCTCGTGGCAAGAACTGGCTTTCATCACTACTACTTAGGGCTGGCCCCACAGTAATAGATTTGATTTGGAGCTAGTTGGAACAGAGCCAAGCATGAAGCAAACAAGGAACCTGTGGACAGCCAGCTGCCTAGCACCTGAGACCTCTCCCCAGCCCTCTTTTATTTCACAGCATAGATTTCTTTATTCTAGCAGTTTTTAACTGGATGATTTTATTGGTGTACAGCTTATCAGTACAATTTAAAGTCAGTACATGGGGGTGGGTTCATTCTATCCAGATGAACGCTGTGTTTGTATTACATGGCCACACTTGCAGAAAAGCACGGATGAGTGAATCACTGCACCTCTTGTTGAGGTTAGACATTTTGTCTGGAAATGAATTTAATCCAGACTTGAAAGGCTCGCCTGGAGTGATTTCTGTGCAACAACATAAACAATGTATGGTCAGTTATCACCTCCTTTGTACAAAGGCATACATTTCCCAGCAGCTGAAAAAAGTACTTTTTTTTTAACAACTGATCTTATCTAGGCTTCCTGGGAGATTCTGATCCAAACTCCTACTTCAACTGGAATTTAAAAGTAAACTTGGTCACCTTTATTGTATCGAAGTAGCATGGGAAAAAGTGTCTTTAATAATTTCCGTAAAATTCAGAAATGCTGCTCTTTCAAAGCTGCAGCTACATTCCCAAACCCATTTCAGTAGCTTTTCCCTCAACAGACAGGGATTCACTGTATCTTATACCTCAAGTTAATTACATGCCACTATATTAATTTCAGAACTTTAATTTACCTTGCAATTTCCTTTGCTGATGCTGAATAGGAAGGATGAGGGGAGTAAGTTTTACTAAGTGGCATATTCTTTTTAATCTTAGAGTTAGATGGGAAAATAAAATTTCAGTTAGCAACCAATCTGACTTAAAAGCTTGAACTTTGTTCCATATAAAAATCCTTAAACTCATATAAATGAGGACTATAAGAGACAGACATATGTCATCTTAGTATAAATTTGATTGTCTTTCATTTTTTTACATCCTGTCAATTTAAGATAAAATATGCAATCGTTGACAAGGTAATCTACATTAAAACAGGTATCTGCACACAAGCTTCATGTTTCATTTGTGGTATCTACCGTTATTGTTTTATGATAACCTTTTATGATAAAATAAATATTGTTCCACTGTTTCAAGAATTAGGCATAATATCAATACACTGCAGTCGACAGCCAACACTATAATTTATAGAAGTTGCTTAGCTTTGTAGAAGAAGAGACAAAGCATAGCTACACATCACACTAAAAAGAATTTCATATTTTTGCATAAATTTAGACTAAGGGGAAAAATGAGACAGATAATGTCATTCTTCTGTGTCATCTGTCCAGTATATAAACATGTGCAGTTACTAACTGGCAATATCCTAATTTCTCAAAGTACATTTATTCCTTTAAAATTGTCATTGGTAATGTTTCTGTGGTAACTTCTGAAACACAGAAAACTATTTTCTGACTTTAATTCACCTCAAAAGCCAGATACACTAGCAGCAGTTTGCATAATCTTATATAATGAATTCCATACAATTCAGTAAGGAATTTATTTCATAGCTTATTTAGCAAAGGCTATTTAAAGGGCACCAGTCTATTATATTTACAGATGGTTTTCTCTTGTTGCAATCCAGATTAATCTTGTTAGTTGCTTCTTCACTTAAACTACTGTTAATTTGCCAAGATATCCACTATGCTCTCAGTGTTTAATAGAGTAGTATCTTAATCCTCACATAAATTTCTGTGAAACTGTGTTTTCCTTTGCTTTTTCACTAATTAAAGGAGACTTGCACCACAGCATAGGCTCTTTTTAATTTCTCAAATATTCTAATCTCTGAAAAGCCAGAGTAGAAACAAAAAGGGTGGTAAACTTAGCTACTTTTATTTCCTTGAGTATCCCATCATTTCTGATGAACAGTCAATTTTTTTCGTTATTGATTGTTTATCATAACCACCAATAATTATGAAAGGAGCTGGTCCAGACAAACTGGTGGCAGCCAGAAACAATTTAGATGCTTTGTCCCATAGACCCATTTTGTGCAATACTACAGAGGAATTCTGCTTCGGGTATCAGCAGCTGCCCGGAGTTCTGTGTATACTAATCTTAGTACTAGAATTTTCTGGAACTAAATTGCTATTACTAAAACTTCTGAAGCTGAAGTAAGTGGCAGCAAGGGTGTTCCTACAAAACAGTAGCAAACACATCTTGTGGAGCTGTGCTAACAAAAATCTTAGCAAATATATCTCAGTGTAGTTGCAATCTATTTCTTGATGGTCAGGACCAGCTCAGAAACCTTTGAAAGGTAGCAAGAACCTTGCAAGTAAAAAGCATTTCAAGATAAAAGTTAACACGATGTTAATTGGCAAGAGTTTCTAATAAAAATCAATACTGCATTTAGCAAAACATTGTTCACTTACGGATCGCTGAATTGGAAACTGAGAAAATGCAGAAGTGAAAACTGAAAAGACTTTAAGTCCCCAGGACTCGGAATACTACAGGGTTAATTCAGTGTTCACACTTCTGTCATTGGTAGAGGAATCAGCCTCGGTGCTGCAAAACACGATCTGAAAAAGCCTGAACCTGAAAAGACCACTCTTCCAGCTGGAGCGCAATCAACCTCCAGCTACCCTCATACGGTTTAGAAGTGACTCTAGTGCCTTTATTTCACAAATACTGCGATGTAAAACAGGGAAGAAAAATGAGTGTGCCAGCTAAATTAGGAAATGGATCAAGCGTGATTAAATGGGAAAGGTGCTTGATGCAGCAGATTTTTGAACAATGATGGAGAAGTGAAAAGGAAGCTAAAAGAGGACGGGAAAAGGCTGTCTGCTACAGTGGCTCAAGAAGACGTTAGCAGGAGATGCTGGAAAGATGAGATAGATCAGACCAGCAATTTTAGGGAAAGGCTTGAAAGAAACATTTGGTTTTCAGTGCTTCCCCCTATGGGTATGTCAATAATGTAGGTGAGTGGGTCACTTCTGTAATGAAGCGTTTCTACGTTCAAGTTCTGCATATGATTTAGCTTCCAGCATGATTAAAATTTAGAAAAAAAAAAAAAAAAAAAAAAAAAAAAAAAAAAAAAAAAAAAAAAGATCAAGGAGGTGTACATAGAGATGCTGGAAAATCCTGTACAAATCTCTCTGCTCCTTTCCTTACGCTTCGGCTGGAAGGAGCTCTCTGAGATCGGATGCATTGCGAAGGCTGCCCAAAGCGGCACCCAGATAACCAAGCTCGATCACTGCGACTTCAGAACAGCCAAAACACTATTTCTGATACAACAAGAATATACAAAGTACCCCGGGTTGTGAAGCGCTTTCAAACGTGGCACTAATCTCGTCCGCGTTGGACAAGCAGCTTCTCCAGCATTTTTGCCACTCTGGGGCTGCCCGCAGAGCGGAATACAATGCGGAGGGAGAACCCCGTACCCAGCTACTGGGAAGGGGTGTCGGAGAGGACAGCGGGGAAATCCTTCTTTCTCCCCGCAGGCGTCGTCTAACAATGCCAAAACCTCTTGTAACAACCCTTCTGGTCTGAAAAAAATTGTTTCAAAACCCGCAGAATTACTTCTTTAGCCTGCCTCAGCCAACCTGGTACAGGACGCGGCGGGCGGGCCGCAACGGGGGCAGGTCGCAGGGCAGACCGCTGGCAGGCACCGAGGCAGGGAGCGCTTCGGCCGGGGGCAGCCCCGGCAGCGGCTGACGGGCGGCACGGCAG